TCTGTTCTGGAATAATGGCATATGGTGATCATTTATAATGTAATGATAGTTGTTTTATTTATAATGTGGTACGTTTAGTTTTGGTGTAGCAGGTTGTGTGAACTCAATGATCCACTGGGCTTTGTGACTCAGGCTTTATGACTGAGTGCTGGAGCAGGCAGCCCTTTTTGAGGGACAGAGCCATACTTGTATTTTTTAAAAAAGGTTTTGGCCTCTGAGAATTGCTGGGAGCTTGGCTGGTAATGTGGTGACATCACTGGAGTGGACAGTGGTATAATGGTTGGCCTCCATTTTGGCGTTATAGGAGAATGCAAGATAAAAGCAGTGAAATAGGCTGGTTTTGTATTGTTTTTACAAACAAATGAAAACTGAACCATCTGAAACTGAACAGTTTCAAAGTTGCAACCTGGGGAACTTCAGGGGCCATACAACAGCCCCCCACTGGCCATGTTCAACAAACCTACCAAGTTGTGGTGTGGCTCAGCAGAGGGTGTGAACCTCACTCATTGTGCCAGGAAGTTGGAGATGAGTCTCTCTGTCCTTCTAATGTCCCACAATGCAGTTGTTTTAGTGTTGTCCTGAGGCATTGTGGGAAATTAAGACCCACCTGCTTTGATACGGGATATTCTCATAACTGCTCCCAAATCCTACCAGGGCTCATGAACTGAGAAAAGGGCCAAGGAACGCAGATGATAACTCTGCACTTGGATGGGGCTACCTGAATGCTCTTTCAGAAGGTAAACAAGTTCCTACCTTCCAAATATTTTGGATGACAGTTTCCATCAGCCTCCATCAGCCATCATGACCAGAGATCAAGGAATTGTAGCTGATCACCCGGGGAAGCTGCTTTTAATGCATGGGTTCACATCCCCAGTGGATTTGTTCAGTACTAGTGGGGTAACTGGCCCAGGGAGATTTCCTTGCTGAGAAAGGATCAGTGTCCTACAGAATTAAACCATTCCTCATTAACCTTGGGAAATTTTCAAGCTGGCTGTGTTTGGGTAACACAATGAATGACAGATTAGACAATTACAGCTTTGCCAGATCAGTTGTGTGAATTCAACCGGTGTGGCTAGTCTAAGGTTCATTACGGCAGAATTCAGAAATCTGGATTGAGAAAACTGATTAAGCAAGTGTGTCGTGCAAACTCAGCAACTGGTTTTTTGGAATAGATAGGGTGGCTTGAACAGCATCTGAAATATATTGGCTACCCTCTCTGGGGATGCAGGTTTCAGCCAGTACCCAAAGGTGGATTCTCGTTTTTTGCAAAAGTGTGATTTTACAAGAGGACCTGTAAGGTGGGACTTCTCTTCCCAACATCTGTAACTTTCCATCGCTGAATGGTTGGGAGAGTTTCTGGATTAGCTCTCTGTCTAATTGACTGAAGTTGGAGACACTTATGGAAATCCTGGCATGGGGCAAGAAGCCCAAAGGGATGGTCCGAGGCTGACATGGCAGGACCACCTGCTGGAGGGAGGTTTCTGATTCTGAGTAGAGCATGAGAACCCTGCAGTAAAACGCCAAACTCACCGGTTGCATTTGCACAACATACTAATCCGATGTGTGGACTTCAGCTCTCAGAATTTGCCAGCCTGTACCCAAAGCCCAGTCACACATGACTAAATGTTTTTCTGTAGTCCTAAAAGAGTGTAAGAAGAGCTCTGGCGCTGGATCAGGCCAAAGGTTCCTTCAGTGATGCGCCCACAGGAGTTTAATGGTTAATGAGCATGCCAGGGAAAAGCTGGGTTGGAGCAGTTCTCTCTGATGCTTAATTTTCTATGCATGAAAGTAAAGCAGGCTTGCCGCTACAGTGGGAAGAATTAGGGCAATGCCAAAGCCCTGGACCAATCTGTGGAGTGCAACAGTAGCTGCTGAACATACTGAGTTCTAAACATTGTATTAAGCCATGATTTGTAAATCATGGTTTACAGAATAAATCTCAAGTGGCTGGGCCCACACGACCTGTGGAACCATCAGCCATGGTTCACAGACCAGAGTGATTGGGTGCACAGAGCCCAAGGCAAAACACGTTATGGCTTAATGCAGGTTTCTCAACCTTGGCAACTTGAAGATGTGTGGACTTCAACTCCCAGAATTCCCCAGCCA